CACTGAGCCTGGTTCTGCTGGAGGTTTCTTCCTGTTAAAAGGGAGTTTTTCCTCTCCACTGTCGCTACAAGCATGCTTAGTGTGAGGGATTGCAGCCGATTCAATGAGTCGATGCAATCAGCTGAATTGAAGTTAGGTAAAGGGCAATGTGTGAATGGAATTAACTCCCAAATACTATCAAACAATGGAAACCTCTCTATGGTTTCCAAACTCCACTTAAGAAATATTACCTTCAAAGAAATTTTAATTGTTGATACTAATTTAATGAAGGTGATACTGCTGTAGGGTTCATGTTAGCTTGTTCTTTGTTATAGATCCATTTGGAGTACCAGTATTTTATTTTAATCATGTTTATCATTTATTTTTTTATTATTATTTTAGTCATTAATGGTGTTAAATGTAAATATTTGTTGATTTGCAGAAGAAAGTAAAAAAATAAAATTTAGATAAATAAATAATAAAGTTTTACTAAACTTCTACAGACAAACCCCACCAAATATGATCATGTTCAATGCAACAATTTTCTCAAAGTATGTCACCTAAATCAAATAACATTTCTATAGATCTATATAGATGTTAACAATTTGCAGCCATAAAACTTAAAGGGGAATTTAAACTATATGAACAGTTTAAAGGTTTTCAGCTTTTTAATTATATAAAGTACATTTTGGTTTTGTTTTCTTTTTTATCCGACAGATACATTGTTTAATCTTTTCTAATTTATTTAATTCCTTTTATTATTTTTTCAGATTTTAGATATGAAATCGTTTTTTCAGAAAGCTCTTGTTAAGCGAACTTCTATGAATTTCATTATTTTGTTTTCTTTTTTTTACTGTTTTTATTTGTTAATAGATTTTTTTAGATTGCATTTTAAAAAGAATTATTTTCAAATGACACTTTTCTAAAATTATTTTTTCAACATTTTTTTAACATACATTTTATATATTTTTTTCTCTCATAGTTGAAGTAAACATGATGAAAATCACCTTTCTGAGTGTGAGAACCTAAAAAATCAGAGGATGAATAAATCCTCTTTCAGTTTTACTGGAAGATCAGAGAATCAGTTTAGTTTCACATGTTAAAACTGGCCAATCGCTGATCACCTTAAATTCAGATAGTCTTCAGCCATCGGTCCGCCGGCTGATCAATGGTGCAAAGAACTAAAATATGCAAACCTTCCTTTAATATCCGCTACTTTGAATTTTAGTCTCTAAAAAGGCTAATTCAAAAGAATAGTGTGTGCTGGAACTCTCCCTGCAAGTCTTATTCTTCTTTTTCAGTGGATCCATGTTAAAATATACGACTAGCGATTAACAAAACACTTTACTTTTTATTCCAACTCCTGAGGTTGGAGTTCAGATGGGTCGACAGCCTGAGATTGAAGCAGCATGATTTGGTGCCTGACCACCAGTCAACTTGTTTGTTCTTCTATTATCCCAGTAAAAACAAACCACTGGACTTTGTTTCCCAGTTTGAAGACATTTCGCTTCCCTTCCAGGAAGCTTTTTCAATTCGAAATGTCAGAAATAGCATTGAGTTCGAGGTTTTATACAGTAGCTTAACAAAGCCTTGTTTTTGTTTGCTTGGTTGGGCTACTGTGTAAAACCTCAAACTCAATGCTATTTCTGACATTTTCAATTGAAAAATTTCCTGGATGGGAAGAGAAACGTCTTCAAACTTGGAAACAAAGTCCAGTGGATTATTTTTAATTTTCTTTTTCTGGATGACTGAGAACCTTCACCGGCATATTCTTCTATTATTGCTCGATTCCAAAGGGAAGCAGGAGTGGTGTGAGCTTACCAGAGGCATTGCAGCAGGATGCTGTCGGTGTACTGGAAGACCGGAGCAGCCAGAGAGGCAGCGACCAGGCAGAGTTGGATGGCTGTGTTGAACTGGACGGAAAGAAGAATAAAGCAGAGGAAAAAATGACTTCATTCCTACTGGTCTCCATTTAGAAAGGAACTGGTAGAACAATATGCGTGAAATATGCCCATAACATAAGCAGCTCCATGTTTCTGCCAGTGGCCTTTGTTTAATGTGTTTGAGTTTTCTCAGCAGTTGCAGCTTCCCCTCAGCTGGCGCCGCTATGGGAACTTACAGCCCTCATGTCACTTCCTGTTTCCTACATTTTCATCTGTCACTTCCTGTTAAAAGCCGCTCCTCCTCTGGATTGGATACTGGCCTGATGGTCCCACCAATCAAAGGAGAGCTACTCCTATTTAAACCAGTACTCTCATATGGACTGAGCAGCTGTCATTGCTTGAGCAGCTTGCCTCTTGCTGGATTGTTTATTGGTTTAAACATTTCAGAGAGGCTCCTGTCACACCTGGCTGATTCAGCCAGCGTATGCCTGATGTCCCAGAATCTGATTTCTATTTCTATGTATTTTTCTCAAGACTTGGCGTATAAATAGAGTATTCATAACGAGTCCAGAACTTCTGTCCAACGACAGCCTAACTTATGCATAACGCATAATGCCCATCAAATGTCACAACTCGGTGACCACAGGAGGGCAGCGATGCGCCCGGGGGCGCCCAGTCTGCATAAAAAGATGTCTTTGAACGCGGTATTAACCTAGCTGCTGTTTTTTGCCCCCCCCCCCAAAAAAGAATTTAAAAAAATGAAAAAGAAATGTTTGCAGGGGCAGCTACAGCAGATAGGCCATTATACAATAGCTGGAAGTTAGAAACACATTCAGCGCTCGTCTGGAACACGTCAGATACGTTGATATGCGTTGGAGAGAAGTTCTTGATAAGTAATGCAGTAGTTACTCAGAGAATTTGGATAAGCTAGACGCCACGACTTATGAGTAACTTACATTTAACGTATGTCAACCATCAGATAACTTACCTGGAACTTGGCCCACATATGGTATAGGTTAGCATACATCAGGAACTTTTGAGCATGCTCAAAACTTTTCCCCATTTGTCTACATGTTCCAGCTTGCTTATAACTAACAAAACGTTCCCATAACTTATCTAACGTATGCCAGCGTTTTTGCCAGATTTTCCATCAGGCATACACTGGTCGAAATCGTCAAGATGTGACAGGGGCTCAAATTTCAACCCCAGACTCCGGTTCATCTGAAT